TTGAAAAACCCTAACTTAACTCTGGGGCCGTGTCACATATAGAAATTTTTTAATATTTGCAACCATAGTAAAATAAGACATATTTTTGATATTTATTTTATATATTTAAATGCCATTTAACAAAGAAAAATCAACCAAAAAAATGAGTTCGCGTGTCACCTCTGACACGCGTGTCATAGGTTCGCCATCACTGCTATAGGCTGTGGGGATTAAATGAGTTGCTATTTGTAACTTTCTTTGAACAGCTTCCTGAACAGCTTTAAATGTGTTGTTGTTTTTTTTTTAATAGAATGCCCAAAGTCTGGTGGCAGAAGGCTAATCACTTCCAGTTCCGTCCCCCTTCCATCTAGCATCAGAATGACCCAAACTACCCCGACTGAGCCCCTGGCCACCAAGTTTTCAAATCAAGCTCAGCCTCCTCCCTTTCCTGCCTGGTTTGGTGTGGGTACCTACACATGGATGTGTGGCATATGGCAGACCAGGCCTGGCTGGTCTTTCCTTTACCACAACACCTGCATTGCCCCCCACACAGGGGTCAGGCCCAGTGCCCCTTGCTGAGTGCACCACCTGTGCTTCCTGCTGTGGTAAACTAGGCAAATCCTCCAGTAAGCCCCGCCCTCAAAGGATGACCCTTGGCTGCCATTTACCTCTCCTGGCTTTGCCGCCCTCACCACACTGCTTGCTCTCACCCAGACTGTACTTGGTGTTTGAAAATAACTGAGCGATGGACTCTCCTGGGCTGTCGTCAGCTCCTGTTTGCTCTCCGTTTTCATAAAGGACATCTTTGAACTGGAAGGAAAAAAGGACAGTTAACATGCAGTGGCTTCCACCCAGCCTTTCCCATGCTAACCAGGAGCCGCTTCATAAGTTCACGTTAACGCTGTAAACGTCCTGTTTTTCTCCCTCTCCTGTGGATGCCTTCTTTGTAAATTATGTTTTACATGAAAAAGTATATCTGCAGGAAACTTTAATTATAATATCTTCACTGAGTAGTACTATCTCAAAGCTGCTTTGTTAACTTGCTGTGATCTTTGCTAATTTGAAAACAGTGGACGGGATCTCATTTAGGGACAGCAGTTTGAACCTGTGTTCCTGGTAATGTTGCCTGGAGTCCTGTTTTGAGGCTACTGAGCGATTCTGAGCTCATGGAGGAAGTACCGCAATCTACACGGGAGGGTGCATGCCAGGTCTGGAGCGGACCCTTCCTCCCGGAGACTCCTCAGAATTGTGGGGAGAGGGAGAGGCGGCACAGAGGTCTCCTGGGTGTTTCCAATGCATGATTACGGTTAATGGGGGGCAGCATTTTCAATTTATTTTACATCATTGTGAAATAGTTTATGATAAAATTGAAAGGAGTCCAGGACACATTAGTGATGCTCACCCTGGGCTCTTCCCTCGATGTGACTGTCTGCATGCCTGTTTGTGTGTGAGCTCACACATTTATATGCACATATTTGTTTTATCTTGTAATATCCTATATAATAAAAGGGTACTATGCAAATAGACTGAAAGGCAGAACAACCAAACAACCAATCAAAGGCGTAATATGCTAATGATATGCTAAGGCTGCTCAACCACTCACTATAACGTGCACTGACCACCAGGGGGCAGATGCTGCAACTAGTAGGTTAGCTTGCTGTTGGGGTCCGGCCAGTCGGGCCTGAGCAAGATGGGCTGGACACGCCCTGGAGCCCTAGTGGGGACCCTCAGCCTGACCTGCACCCTCTCGCAAGGGGATTTTGGAGAGTTGGTTTCAGCCCGATTCTGCAGGCCACTCCCCTTGGGAGGGCGCCAGACGCAGGGCTCATGGCTGGTGAGCACTGCTGCGACAGCGCAAGCCTCTCTGGATCGAGACTGATTGGGCGGGAGCCCACAGCAGGCACAGTGGGGCCGGGATGAGCGGGAGCGGCAGGTAGGAGCTGCAGGTGGCGTTGGACTGTGGCTTTTGGCCCGATCCCTACAGGCCGCCCAGAGGGACCCCACCCGTGCTTGAATTCTTGCACCGGGCTTCTAGTGTACTCATAAAATGTAGTGCAGGACTTAAGAAATGTAAAATGACTATTTCCCTGGGAATATACTGAAAACCACTGGGCTGTACACTTTAAAATGGGAGAATTTTATGGTATATGAGTTATATCTCAATAAAGCTGTTAAAGAAGAGAATGTCCCATCAGTCCCAGTTCTCAGCCTGAATGCTGTCTCTGGCAGAAGACACAGTGTCTTCAATCTAGGCCTGCGCCGGCTCATCCAGGTGTCCCTGCCTCTGTCCGCCCGGCTGCCTCTCCTGGAGGGGGTGGTTTCTGTCTTTCTCTTTGGTGGATCCTGGCCTGGCCTAGACCTCCTGCCCCTCCCTTTTGTCAGAAGCCTTAGACTTAGAGCAAGGGTCCTCAAACTACGGCCCGCGGGCCACATGCGGCCCACCGAGAACATTTATCCGGCCCACCAGGTGTTTTTGCCGCCGCTGTGTGCATAGGAATTTGTTCATAGTTTTTTTTTAAACTATAGTCCAGCCCTCCAACGGTCTGAGGGACAGTGAACTGGCCCCCTGTTTAAAAAGTTTGAGGACCCCTGACTTAGAGCATTAAGCTGCGAGTGCCCTCTCTGGGGATCGAGTTTCCCCTGGAAAAGGCAGCAAGAACAGTGACCAGGAGCCTGTCCTCAGTATTGTGACCACTAGGTTTCAGGGGGAAAAGGAAGAAAAATGTTTCCTATATAGTAGCATTTTACTTCTCTCTCTCCCTTTCTCAGTTCTTCCCTGCCTTTAACTAATAATGAATGTGGAGGGAGAAGCAGTTCTCTCTAAGGTTCTCCTCATTTGTGACTGAGCGTTCTTGGCCTGGGTGGGGCAGAGAGCTGATGCTGGATAGCTGAGGACCAAGAGCCTCGCTCTGGGCATCAGTGTGGAGTTAAACAGAAAACGCAGGTGACATTTGTCATGTTGGCTATTTTTAAAGTCTGTCATTAATATAAGAAACTTCATATTCATAGTATTTAATCTTCCTTACTTGTAAAGAATAAGAAAAAAAGAAGGTAAATATTCCTACAGAGAATAGCAGAGTTTTAAGATTCGTTTCCATTTTAAGTCCATTTGTTTAGCCAGTGTATTCATGTTTAGGTCTGTTATATTAATGTTATTAATTTTTTCATTTATATACACAGTTAACTAAAGAGCTTTTTCAAGCACCCATGTCTGTATTTTTAAATAAAGTTTCTTTTGTTGTAAAAAAATGTTTTCAAATACAACACTTTTTCAAAAAGAATTATTCTTTCTTGATTATAAAAGCAGCACATTCACATATAGGAAAGTGGAAAGTGTATTAAAGTAGAAAGAAGAAAGAATATATAGCACCACCCTAGAGACTGTTAACATTTGGTGATACTTTCTTTCATTGTTTTTTCATTCTCATGTATGGATTATTTTTATATTGATGTGATCTTTTCTGTGTATAAAATTTTACATCTTTCTTCATTTAACATGATAATATAAACATTTAAAATGCTGTTATAAATTTTTCATGAACATTTTAATGGCTTATACAATGAGCCGCTGTGTGAGACACTGTAAATTAATCATTCCCTGCTGTTGGATATCACTAATGAGAAATAGCACTGGAATGAACATCTTTGAGCATAGTCCCATTGTCATATTTGGATTTATTTCCTTAAATGTAAGCCAGATATATTAAAAGTTTTGAATGCTTTTAAAGCCTTATCATTTAGCCTCAAGTTGCCTTCTGTAAGGCAGGCATCTGTCAATCTAGAAGGCGTCTTCGTTCAGGTTACCAACCTCTGGGCAGACATAGCCCTGGCGTCCAAGCTTGAGGGTGTACTGTAGACTGTTACGCCTGCTCTACTCTCTGTGGGTGCCTCAGTGTGCCACAGGAGCACTGGTGCGTGGATGCTCATTTATATTCTTCCCATGGCTCACCCCAAGTACTTGTTTCCAAGAACCCAGATTGGTATTAATTAGGTATTCATATCTGTAAAACCTTTAATTTGTTAAGTGAAAAAGTAAATGTTGGTATGTTGATATTTAAATTTACCCATTTTGATTATGAGGGTGAGCATTTATTCATGTGTTTCTTGGGCATTTCTATTTTCTCTTATGAATTATCTGTTTATACTCAATTTATACTTAGTGTTTGTCATTTGATATTTTGGGTATTACTTTGATTACATATGATCTGAATTATTTGTAGTCAATATTCTTCCTGGTTTGTACTTATTTTATGAAAAACAAAAGGTTTTATTTTTATTTAGAATAATCAATTATTTGCTTCCTTGATACTCAGTTTACAAAGTTCTTCCCCATTTAGACATGTGAAAAGCACTTATATTTTCTTCTTGTTTATTATTTCATTTTTACATTGACCTCTTGAATTTATGTTAAATTCAAGTATATTTTGATGAGTAGCATTAGGTAGGAATCTAATTTTTTTCAAAGTTTTCTCTGCACTATTTTTCACATAATCTTTCCTTTCCCTAGTGATTAATGTGTTTTTTTGTCATTTGATTATCATCTATTCTGATAAAAATATTTTGCTGAATTTAAAACCAATAAAGATTACATTCTCAATATGGTTAAAGCACTGTTCTTTATATATTTTTGTTTCACTGTTAACATTTGTTTAAATTGACTTTGAATTTAATAATTTTATTACTAACTTATTTCTTCTTTTTATGAATGTTTTTATTGATTTCAGAGAGGAAGGGAGAGGGAGAGAGAAACATCAATGATGAGAGAGAACCATTGATTGGCTGCCTTCAGCACGCCCCCTACTGGGGATTGAGCCCGCAACCTAGGCATGTGCCCTGACCGGAAATCTAACTGAGCCACGCTGGCCAGGCTATTTCTTCTTTATACATTAAATCAAAGTGAACTGAATATATGGGCACATTAAGATCACTCATTACAAATGACCCTGACTCTAGGCATTAAACATAAGAGGCACTTGCATTCACATTTAAGAACTTTTTTCTCTTTCTGTTCATGTTTTTAGGGGTTGTTATCTCATATACTTTCAGCATTCAGATTTGATATAAAAGAAGTTGGTCTTTTTACTCAAAGTCTTGGGTATGCACCTGCAGATTATTATCCTGGTTTGCTAAAAAATGTGAGTATTTTTAACTTATTGGTATTAACATTTTCATTGGTTAATATATCACCAGCAAAAAGAATAAGTGGAAGTATTTCACTTCTCCAGAAGAGATGTTTAACTTTTCTATGTTTATCTCTTCTTACATTGGGCGGACTTATGGCCATGTAAGGAAGAAATGTGAGATGGGAGGTTATGGGAAAGAAGAAGGAAACCAGGAGAGGTTATTCTAAATCAACCAACTTCTCTGTCTCTTAACACATTTCATTTATCCTCTCAAAGATTTTTAGGAGAAGAAATTCCTTAACCAATGTAAATACAGTCTTTCATTGTTAGACAAATTTTGTATTTAAAATGGCATGATAGGAATTTTGTGCTAAAGCAAAAAAAAAAATGTAATAACAACCTTGTAAATACTACTATATATTTACATCTTAGTATTAAAGCTATGTATTCTTCTGCCTTTAATTTTGGCTAGATTGAAGAAATTTTAATTTTGATCTTAACATAGCTCTTCTAAAAACTGTTAGGAGATTTTTCAATGTTTAACTATTCTGGTCTTTTGGATGCTTTATACCTGAATAAAAAATAAAGATTAAATTAAGAAAGAAAAATAAAGTAACTCTAACGTGGTTTTATTTTTAATGGGTTTGGTTTTAATTCTTAGGAAATTAATGATCTGTCTGTTGTTCAGTTGCTTAAGTAGGAATTCAGAATAACAGGCAGTAAACACAAAATCCAAATTATTAGTAAATAAGTTGGCACTGCCTCTTTTCACTTTGACAAAGTACAAGGAGAGAGCTGGCGGAAGAAGGCAGGGAATCTCAACGGAAATACCACTCACACCAGGAAAATAGAACTGATGTCATCCTGTTTGCAGTGCAAGTTAACCTGCAACTGATTTTGTTTTACAGATGGTTTTATCATTAGTGTCTGAACTCAGAGAGAATCATCTTAATGGATTTAACACTCAGAGGCGGTAGGTGTGGAACTAAACAGCCCTCTTCTCAAGTTTTAAAATGTATGTTTGGTTATGAGAGAAAAAGTTATAATTCTTAGGAAATGCATGTTCATAATTATAGTTATATCCATTGTGGAAAGATTATTTTTGTTGAATACATGGAAAACTGGTGAATTTTACAAACTTTCTTTTTTAACCCCTGTTCTCAACTTTCATAAGGCAATAAATTGTGTAATGTGTCACATGCTCCCATGGAGTAAAAAGCCCTCCATATACAGTAGGGAACACAGAGCAAGTGCTCAGCTCCATGTGTGTGTATCATTTACACACACACACAACCAGGATGTTTACAAGACAGCAGACACTTGATGTGCACATATGACTTATATGACTATTTTAAGAAACGATATTCCAAAATTTAGACTAAACAAATCAAAGAGTCAGACAAATTAAATAGCAGTTAATCACATTATAAAATGTTTCTTCACTATGAGAAAGAATTCAAAGTTGTTTTCATTGGTGAGCATTTTATTTTTAACAAGTCATTCACTAAAAGAATCTAGGGACCAAGGCACGTTGTGATTTTTTGTAAAGCTATTGCCAGTGAAAGCTCTATCAGGTATGGTGTTTGCTCTCAGACTTAGAAATCCTTTGCATCTAACCCTTAAAGTAAACTATAAATTCTTAGGCAAAAACATGAGAAAATCTTCATTACATTGGATTTGGCAGTGATTTTTTGGATATGACATCAAAAGCACAATAAAAAAGCTAGATAAATTGGACTTCATTCAAATTAAGAAGTTTTATGAATCATAGGATATTATCAAGAAAGCAAAAAGACAACCAACTGAATGAGTAGATTGGAAATCATATATCTGAAATCATACACCCAGAATGTATAAAGAATTCCTACTTAAGAGGCTAACACAGAGGGTAAAGCAAGTCTCCATAAAACCCAAAGAAGAGATGGTAAAACTCCTCTTTGGATCCTGTCTGGAGTCACAGCTGAACAAAAGGGGAAAAAAAAGGAGAAAAAAAAAAGAATTCCTAAAATTCAATATTATAAAATTAAATTTTAAAAAAATGGCCAAGAGACTTGACTAGACATTTCTCCCAGGAATATGTACAATAGGCCAATAAACACATGAAAAGATACTCAACATCAGTAATTATTAGGGAAATACCTATCGAAATCACAGTGGGATACCACATCACACCTACTAGGATAGCTGTAATTTAAAAAAACAAAACAAAAATGAAAACTAACAAATCTTGGTGAAAATATAGAGCAGGTAGAACCCTTGTGTTTTGCAGGTGGGAATGGAAAAAAGTACAGCCACTGTGGAAAACAGTTTGGCAGTTCCTCAAAAAATTAAATACAGCCCAGCCAACATGGCTCAGTGGTTGAGTGTTGAACTATGAACTAGGAGGTCATGGTTCGATTCCCAGTCAGGGCACATGCCTGGATGTCCAGGTTGCGGGCTCGAATACCTAGTGTGGGGCATGCAGGAGGTAGCCGATCAGTGATTCTTCTATCATTGATCTCTCTCTCTCTTCCCCTCTCAGAAATCAATAAAAAATATTTATATATTTTTAAAGTTAAATGCAGAATAACCATAAGACCCAACAATTGTACTCCTAAGTACATATTCAAAAGAAATGAAAGCAGGGGCTCAGATATCTGTACATCAAGTTTATAGTAACCCAAGTGCCTATCAACAGATGAACAGAGAAACAAAATGCGGTTTACAAATACATTACAATACTATTCAGCCATAAAAAGGAATAAAAATTGTATATATGCAAGAACATGGATAGACTTTGAAAACATCATGCTTAGAGAAGCAAGACACAGAAGGATAGATATTGTATGATTCCACTTATATGAGATACCTAGAGTGACAGAAAGCAGACTATCTATAATAATAAAAGCATAATATGCTAATTAGACTGGATGTCCTTCCTTTCGGACAAAGCTGCGGCGGGCGGGGGCCGAGGCAGAGGTGGCCGCCATGGCAGTGGGGGCCAAGGCCCTTGCACGAATTTCATGCATCAGACCTCTAGTAGGTTATAAGTGTCTAGAGGGAGTGAAGTGATTGTTTAATAGGGACATAGTTTTTGGAGGGGATGAGGAAAAGCTTTGGGTATAGATTGTGGTGATGGGTACAGTTTGTGAATGTATTTAATGCCACTGAATGGTTACCACTTACAAATGGTTAAAATAATAACTATTATGTATGTTTTATTGCAATAAAAGAAATTAAACTTGAAGAAAAAAACAATTGTGATACCAACTATAAACTCCCTCAAATGACTAAAATGTAAGACACATTAGCATGTGTTGGAAAGGATATGAAATTACCGGATCTTTCATAAACTGTTTGGGAGAATGTGCGTAATATAAACATTTTTGTAAACAGTGTGGCAGTTTAATATAAAGTTAAACATAAACTTACCATATGACCCACCAATTCCATTTTTGAGTTTTTACTCATGACAAGTGAAAACATAGGTATTCACAAATATTTCTGTATAAATATTCATAGCTGTTTTAGTTGTAATAGTTCAAAACCAAAAATAATCCAAAGGACCATTGACAAGGGAATGGGTATTTTTAATTATTTTAATAAAAATTAGGGTATTTTAATAAAAATTATATATTACCACCATTGAAAAAAATGAAAAAACAAGTCATAAACTGAGAAAGTATTATGAAATTGCACATCTGATAAAGGGCTCAAACTCAGAATATATAAAGAATCCAGTAATAAGACAAATAACCCAGTTTAAAAACTGGCAAAAGATTGGAATACATGTCACCAAAAAATGTATACAAATGGCTTATTTCAAGAACATGAATACTGGTATATAAATGTTTATAGCAGCATTGTTCATAATAGACAAAAAGTGGAAGCAACCCAAATATCCATCAACTTATGATTGGATAAACAAAGTATGCTATGTGCATACAATAGAATATTATTCCTAAAAAAAAGGAACAAGCTACTGATTCATGCTGTAGGACGTGTGAACCTCAAAAACATGCTTAGTGAAAGAAGTCAGTCATAAAAGAACACACATTGTATGATTTCATTTTTTTTATAAAATGTCCAGAATATGCAAATCTATATATATGTTGTTGCCTGTGGCTAGAGGTAGGAACAGGGATTTCCTACAAATGAACACAAAAGATGGAAGTGTTCTAAAGTAGATGATGATTTTTGTCCAACTCAATAATTTATTAAAAATCTTTGGATTGTACATTTGAAATATGTGCATTTTGTGGTATATAAAGTATATCTAAAAATATAAGATGAATCCCTAGGGTGCATGGAAAGCATTTACAGTCATTTATTTAAATATTAGGTAAGGACTTTGATTTAGCTTTGTGGTGAATGTTGAATAATGGGTCTTTTGAGTAATAAACTTACAAATTTATTAAAGGGAACTTGAAAAAATCAATAGAAGGCAATTTGTATGTATACCTTATACCAAATCTCAAAACATGGTTTTATTTATTTAGCCTCACCCAATGATACGTTTTATTAATTTTTATTTTTTTATTTTTTTTTTCATCAAAATGTATACTTTTTTTTTGCTGTGACTCACTTTATTGCATTTCAAAGATACCGCTTTTTTTTTTTTTTTTACAAATTTTGATCTTACCTTAAATTTGTTTTATTAATTTTTAGAGAGAGAGGAAGAGGAGGGAGAAAGAGAGAGAAACATTGATGTGAGAGAGAAACATCGATCAGTTGCCTCCCACACGCACCCCCACCAGGGATTGAACCTGCAACCTAGGTATGTATCCTGACTGGGAATTGAACCTGCAACCTGTTGGTGTACAGGACAATGCTCCAACCAACTGAGCCACCCAGCCAAGGGCAAGCTGATGATTTTTTAAAACTTAGATGAGAATAAACAAAAACAAACTAAGTATCTCTCTCTCTCTCTCTCTCTCTCTCTCTCTCTCTCTCTCTCTTTCTCTCTCTCTCTCTGGAAGATATCTGCAACCTATAAAACAGACAAATATAGAAATGCCTCCTGCAAATGAATTATAAAGAGACAAACACTCCAGTGTGGAAAGGAACAAGAAATATAAGCAGGTTATTACAAATGAGGCAAACTGCATAAAAATAAACATCTAAAAAATTCTTCAGGAGTGACATCAGCAGGATAGCAGAATAGGAAGCACCAGACCTTGCTTCCTCCTCCCACCCCCCGAGAAACACTGACTTAACAATAGTATATGGGTCAAAGGGCCTTTATGAGAACTCCAGAAACTGATTAGAAGTCATAATATCCCAGGCAGACTCAAAGTCAAAAATAGCCATATTGAAACAGGAAAGAAACCCATGTCATATAAACTACAACAGCCCTTCCCCTAAGCCAGCCCAGCTTGCTGTGATTGGGAGGCAAAGTTCAGCTTGTAGCTTCTCCCTTGTAAGGGAAAAAGAAGAGTGGAGTGTGTCCAATGTTCTGGCTTTTGTGGAGCTGCCTGAGGGACTAGTATTTGTCTTGCCTGACTCTGATCACTGACAGGGCACCGCCATACTTTCAATGCCTGGTAACAATGGAGAGTTAGAGCTCACTGCTTTTTGCAGCACCAAAGAACTGGAGTGCTATAGACAGGAAGTTGGCTCAGGTCAGCATGAATGTCTTTACCAACTCTGGTAAAGACAAATATATAAGCAAATACAAAATCTTATAATAACGTAATATTGGTTCATAAATTACTTTTAATTCTGTAATAAAATTTAAATGATAAAAGTATAAAAAAGAACCGTAACTGTAAAACTATGTTAATGGATACAAAATATACAGACATATAACTTATGACATCAATAACACAAAACATGGGAGGAGATATAAAGAATAAATTTTTTTGTATGCAACTTAAATTGTTATCAGTTTAAAATAGATTGTTATAACCACGAGGTATCTTACCAAATCCCATGATAAAACAAAACAAAACAAATTTAAAAAAAACTACAGAAGTTGCACAAAGGAAAATGAAAAGAATCAAAGTATATCACTATTTTAAAAAAATCAGTCAAACACAAAGGAAGGTCAGTGAGAGAGAGAAAAAGGATCAAAATAACTACCAGACATACAGAAAGCAATGAAATGGCAGTAGTAAATCCTTCTCTATCAGTAATTACTTGAATGTAAATGGATTAATTTCTCCAATCAAAAGGCATAGCATAGATGAATGGATTCTAAAAAACAAGGCTCAACCATCTGCTGTCTACAAGACTCATTTTAGATGTCAGGATATTCATAACCTGAAAGTAAATGGGTGAAAAAATATATTCCATGCAAATGGCAAGCACAAGAGAGCAGGTATGGCCATGCTTATATTAAACAAAATATAGTTTATATCAAAAATTATTACAAGAGACAAAAAAGAGCATTATATAATGACAAATGATCAACTTACTGGGAAGATATCCTATATAATAAAAGGCTAACATGCAAATCAACTGAACAGTGGAACGACTGGTCACTATGACGCACACTGACCACCAGGGGGCAGTTGCTCAATGCAGGAGCTGCCCCCAGTGGTCAGTGCGCTCCCACAGCGGGAGTGCCGCTCAGCCTGAAGCCAGGCTCACTGCTCCTTAGCACTGCCTTGGTGGTGGCAGGAGACTCTCTTGCCTCCATGGCAGTGCTGAGGACCCCTTGGGTGATGTCCGCCTGCCAGCTTAGGCCAACTCCCTGTGGAGTGGGCCTGAGCTGGCAGGCAGACATCTCCCGAGGGTCCTGGACTGCAAGAGGGCACAGGCCAGGTTGAGGCCACCTTCCCCGCCCCCCCCCCCCCCCAGTGCATGAATGTCGTGCACCAGGCCTCTAGTAACAACTATAAATATATATGCACTAACAGCAGAACACCAAAATATATGAAGCATACATTGATAGGGTTGAAGGGAAAAATAAAAAGTAACACAATAATCATAGGAGATTTCAATACCCACTTTAAATAATATATGGATCAACCGGACCAAAG